GCAGAATTGCGAGAAATTTTAAAAATATTGATACACTTGTCTATACCGAATATGTATGTATTTATGTTGGCAACATGTTGCACAAGAGCATATAAGTTTTCTTCACATAACGTGGTTAGCTGCCTGGCAGCGCAATTTTTTCAAAAATGTAAATGTTATGAAAAATTGGAAACAAAATAAAACCAACCATTTAAGCAAGGAATAAATACTAAAACTTACATTATTATTTTTTAATACATTGTTTTGTCTCATTCAAACGTTATTTGTTTTTCTTATTGTTGACATTATAAAGTAAAAGTACAAGTAAAAATATTTCCTAGACGGGCTTTCTTCGAAATGTAGATATTATGAATAAGACAACTATATCATATGAATAAAATATATATTTATGTACATATAGAATTAAATATGAATTCGAGTTACTCTTGACTAAACCATTAAAGTAAAAGCACGTCGTGTTCTTTAATAAATTGATTCATTCGCGTAAGTATTTTATAAATTATGCCAACACATATATTCCACTCTTTGGTTATCCAATATAACTATTAATTTTTTTTTGCATCGTCTGTATACACAAGTAGTTCTCCATACAATAACAGTTCTTCAATGAAAAATTACCAAAATTTTGGTTTACATTTAAATAGGCTTTTTAAAACCGCCAATTGTCAATTGTCAATTTTTCATTTTACCGCCGGCGTGTTTACTATTTCACTTCAAATAATTTACTTTAAAATTTTACAACAGCAATTTTTTAAATTCCCAAAAGACGCCTTTTTTAAGCTGTGACACTAGATGTGCCCCTTAAACACAAACCAATACAATTGTCACCGTTATTGAGAGCGGACAATACCCTCTGTTCTCCGTTGTATGCAAATTTTCTTTTCTCCATTTTAAGTTTGTTCGAAATGACTTTTTACTTATTCTATAAAAACTGAAATTTTCGGAGCGTAATTTTAAATTGCTGGTTTGGTTAATAAATATTTTACAAGTTCGATATGAATCGACAAAAAATATGAGCATCAACCTGAAAAAAGCCTTTCGAAAGCCTTTGTGCAAATACTGAATCATAATTATTGAAATTATCATATTCACAAGATAAATCTATTTTCTTATAACTAAGCTTAAGTCCATTCTTGTAACATAAGAGATAAATATTATTTATTTTATATACTTATATAGCGCACTAAAAATGCGATTTGAATCACATCAATTTTATTTCAAGAAAGCTTAAAACGATCCTATATTTATTTGTTGTATTATTTTTCTAATTAGCGTCGTTTCGATTCTTTTTAAGGTACATATCGCAAGCAATAAGTTCGAAAATCTAATAAAACCTTAACTCTAGGTGAATATGCGTTCAATTAAAGAATAACTTTTACTCTGATTCTTTTGAGATTATTGCAATTAAACCGAAGAGTTATGATGCGCAGTGTGCGCTAAAATGGTTGTAAGAATGTAAATTAACTGTAAACATGCAATACAAGACGTAATTAGAAAAAAATATACAAATAAACTAGAAGCTAATATTCAAATCAACAATTTTTGCAGCACATTACTATGGGCTGCTTGTTTGTTACTCATACGCCATGGCTTCACGAAAACACAAATGCTGCTAAAAATGTACTTAGCAACGCTCCTACACATAAGGTGTCCTACGAATTATATTGATCCAGCGGGAAAACACAAATGAAAGTCGGCATTTTAGTACAATAGATGACGGGTTTGTTGCTGGTCTACTTTTTATTTCTTTGATCACTAATTCTCAGTAAAAAAGTATTTTAAAAACTTCTGTTTGAACCGTGCAAATTACAGCAGAAGAAATGAGCTTAACTAAAATCTACCTCCGTTATTACCCACCTGGTGAGTTTAGGACCGAGCGGCTTCATTTAATTAAAAGAAATCTTCGATTTGTAGGCTTGGCACTCAATTGTCGCACCGCCGATGGCAAGGAAATGCTGCATCACATAGATCTGTTGGAGCTAAAAGCGAAGTGTGTGACTTAAATAATTAAAAATATATAAATATAGCCAAACTCTTTTAATGCACAGCACACGTGTAGAGAGAGTAATCAAAACCATTACAAGCGATTTACAAAACTTAGAAGAAGAAGGTGAGCGTATTTGTAGCACTATAGCAGCCGACTGTGCGGCTGACGTTAGTGATAAGCAACAAAAAAAGACATTGAACTCACTACAAGCTGACAAGAAAAACACCACAATTGATACGCTCTTTCTACAACAAATCATCGACAACTACACGGATCCACTACGACAGGCCATTGCGAAATTGCAACGCAAGCTGTTGGAGCCCACACAGAAGAAATTCTATTTGCAACGTCGTGTGGCACACCTGTTGCCACTGACCAACATCTGTTTCGATAGAAGCGGTACGCGCTGTTTGACCGGCAGTTATGACCGCATTTGTCGCATTATCAATACGCACGACGCCGTAGAACAGCAGCTACTGAAGGGACATGATAATGTTGTCTTCTCCGTTGCCTTTAATCAGCCAAAATGGTATTACTTACAAGTTATGTGTGTCGTTTGGTTAATTAACTTAACGTTACTTGCATCTCGACAGCGACAAAGTGGTCACCGGTTCGTTCGATGGCACCGCGCGTGTGTGGCAAGCTTCGAATGGCCAATCGTTGTGCACGCTCTACGGCCATAAAGCCGAACTGGTGATGGCCGAATTCGATCCCATACAATCAAATGTTGTGGCCACCGCTTCCATGGATGGCAGCGCACGTTTGTTTGACATCGAAACGGCCTTCGAGCTACAGCAGTTACGCCAGCACGGCGCCGAAGTGATTGCGAGTCGCTTCAGTTGCTGTGGCAATATGCTGCTAACGGCATCCTTTGACAGCACCGCTGCCATTTGGGACATACGTAGCGGCTGGTAGTTTATAAATTTCATGGTATTTTCACAAAGTTCCCATTTATGTCTGTTTAAATATTTACCATTCAGCCTCATCGCACAACTGCGCGGCCACACTGCCGAACTGAGCAACTGTGTGTGGAATTTCTCCTGCGATCGTATTGCCACGGCTTCGCTGGACAGCACCGCCCAGCTGTGGGATGTACGTCGCCTGGATGTGCCCTTACACAATATAACTGGGCATCGCGAGGAGGTGCTAGACGTTTGTTTTAACTCAACCGGTTGTCAGTTGGCCACATGCAGCAGTGACTGCACGGCACGAGTATGGGATATACGTGGCGATTTGTTGCAGCTATCCGTTATGGAGGGTCATAAAGATGAGGTGTCAAAGGTACCACATTATTTCTGATTTTTTTTTTTGTAGTTGTTTTTGTTTTTTTACACGCAAGCTGTTTGCTTGCAGGTTTGCTTCAGTCCACCAGGTGCTCTACTCATGACTGCCTCTGCCGATAACACTGCGCGCTTGTGGTTTACGGAGTCCGGTCAGTGTTCACAGGTTTTGAGCGGCCACGATTCGGAAGTGTTTTCGTGCGCATTTAGCTATGCAGGTGATATCATAGTCACGGCTTCGAAAGACAACACTTGTCGCTTGTGGAGATGATACGACTGGTATACGGTGGCGTTTAAAGATGTGGATTGAAGCGTTGTAGTTTATTATTAACAAAAAATCATAGTAACTCGAAGAAACTAAAAATGCAATATAGATAAGGTTTCTTTGCACCACGAAGTTAGATCGTTAAATAATAGAGAAAACAAAAGAAATAATATTAATAGCTACTTGTATAATATATTTTGATCGTGTCTACAAGAGCTTTGAGACCATATTGATCGTAAAATAGTATACCTATAAAGCTTCTTATGGAAGGTAATGCAAGTTGCTACTAGGACAGCTATAAACGCTGGTCCTTTGTGATTCGCAAAAATCCAAGGTATGAGTCCACAGACACTTATAGATCGAGGATATTCTTTGAGCTCACCACAAATTTGTTAAGGTGGCTGATATCAATTTTAGTTACTTCGCCAGGTTCGGCGAGAGTGTGACTACTGAGATATTAAAAACTCAATATGGCAAAATATGGTCAGTTGAGAAGAAAGTATCTAGATGATTCTTTCTCGCCTTCTTTCATACAGCTTTGGCAATTTGCGTTCGACAAGATATGTAACCTCATCACTTGTGAGCCTGTTGGACATTGCTCAGTCAGAACATCTACCATGACTGCGAGATTAATCATGCTAAGAACAAGTAGTTCAGAGGACTTCTTGTGCTTCACCTTAGTCCACTAAGCTAACGGGTGGTTGTCTTTGTTGTTGTTGTAACGGTTATCTAATCCCCGCTTGGGTGGTAAGTTTCAGTTTAGATGTTGTCAAGGTCAACTAACGGGAAGCCTAGGAAATGAGCTGTTTCCACGGGGTAGGACTATAGGGAAAAGCGTGTAAGATGAGTGGGGTTCGTAGTGCACGCAAAGAGGTGGTTAGTGTCATGCGGAGACTCAATTCCCACAACAGCCGGTTCTACGTTACCGGAATTGACCCGGATTTTATCTGGCCAAAGGCTGTTATTTCGGCGATCTAACCCCGCTTGGATCGGTAAGTTTTAGTCTAAGTTTAGCTAACGTTAGGTCAATAGATTCAACGCCAGAGCGCAAGAGACTGCTGACCGACACTTTGCCTATCTGATTAAATTTGAGTAAGGGTCCACTCCATAGCAAGCTCATAAGCTTTGCAGTTTCCAGCGAGTCGGCTGTGCTCAAACGAGTATCATACCTACTAATAAGGTTCTAACATGAAATCAACATCTTCGATCAGATATTTGCAGGCGGCGTAAAGCACATAGAGATCTGAGTTTGTAGTATACTCACAATAAGTCTACTAGATATTCTAAAAGAAATATATCTTCAATTCGCCACATCTCTGCTCGCTGTTTCAGCCAGCTCTCTTGTAAAAGAAATAAATACATGTGGAAACAGCAAAAGTTATATTTTGCAATGACAGCTATTACTCAGTGTTTTACCCCACACGTTGCTAAGGTGGAATTAAATAGCAAAGTTTTTTTGTTTTACATATAATCTTTGTATTTTAGTTATCATTCATTTATTAACATTCACTACAAACACGTGTGTATATCTTCTTATTACCATTTCTTTTGTTGTTTTTGTTTATTTATTTATTTATTTTTTTTTTTGTTTTTGTTTTACTCACTTACAACTTATTACCATGTTTTTACTTTTTTTTATTATACTTTCTTTATTTAAGCTTCTCAACTAATTTTATACTTTTTATACTCAGATTACAAATACGTACACAAAATATGAGTGTGTATGTCTGTAAGTAGTTGTTGACAGTATGTGGAAAATTGTAAAATCTTATTTGTGTTTTTTTGTTTTTTTTTTCTTCTTCTTTCTTTAACTTAGTTTGTTGCATTTTTTTGTAGGATTTGTGTTTTATCGCCAAAAATTCAGTTACTTGCAAACCGTTTTCTTGTTTAGGTCGTATACAGTATAAAAATAAAACGAATTAAAAAGTAAAAGTAATGTAAATGTGCTTTTAAAACAGTTTGGAAATTTTGCATTCGTTACAAAATGGTGGCCAGCTCACGGCAACCGAAAGAAAAAAGATCGGGCAATACAATTATATGAAAATAGTTGGCTCCCTCGGTTTGCTGTTGAAAATAAGTATAGACGCACAAGCACGGTCAAGCTCTCTTACCAGTCTGCAGCGCTCCGCTCGGTGCGGCGTTGTCGGTGGTGTTGTGTAGTTGTGCGTTGTACGGGCGTGTAATAACAAAACTAAAACACCTTTTTTACAATTTTTCTGCCAAGTATCTGCACATACAGCCAGCTACTGCAAGAAACTATAAGCACCCCTCCAAAGCTGATTTACTTATTTCATGTTAACATACAAACAAACATACAACAGTTACTTATTTACGGTATAGGTTTTTGTACACAAAACGTCACTAGAACTTAGGTGTTCATCGAATGACTTCTTATATTTGTAGGACATAACATTTGAGTAGATTCGTATGCGTGTGTGTGTAGACACAACGTTGGTGTTGTAGGCAGGTGTTTAGACGGAAGTGGCAATGTGTTACGTTTTATAGTTGAATTTGGCTACACACTCTATCGCACATAAACAATCAGAAAAACGCTTCAGTAGAATTGGTTCACCATAAGTGTGTGTATATGTGTATTTGGTATGCGCACTATTGTTACCGTTCGTCTGTATGGTTGTTGCTATGTTCCAGCTTTATCTCCAATGCATCGGAAAAACTTAGTTTTGTTGCGTGGTGCCATTTGACTGCGTTTGCTTTTGTGAATCGCCGCAAAATGTTTGTGTCTGTGTGCGTGGTACCTGTATGAGAGCCTATAGGTCTCACAAGTTTAGGCCACTCTCACCAAGCCAGCCCAGACGTTTTAGCATCACAACAAGCTTGTGAATATGTGTGTATAACTTCTTAACCCTAAGCTTGGTTTTTCTTTTCTTATGTTTACGTGTGTTGCTAGCTTTTTGCTTCAGTAATTTTCCATTTTTTCTTTCTATTTGTTATTTGTTGTATTCCTGTTTTTTGTATTTAAATTATTTCTTCTATTTGGTTACTTCAGTTAAATTTGCACTTTATCAAAGTTATAACCGATTTGTTTTTGTGTTTTAATTATTTTGTTTTTGTTATTACTTTGCTTTTGAGGTGGTTCAATGAGAAGGGCTCTGTAAGTACACATATTGAGAAGAGAAGATAATAGAAAGAACACATATTGGAATTTTAAAATATTGAAGCAATTGATTGATGAGGCTTGCAAGAATATAAGCCGGATAAATAAAAGGATGATGATGAAGATATTATTGTAATAAAAAAAATAATGTGCACAAAATTAAAAAATAGAATAAAAGAAACATAAAATATTTAAAGAATATATATATATATCATATAAAAATTAAAAACAAAAAATAAAACAGTCACAGGAAATTTAAAAAAAAACCTTGAAATATAAAATTTTAAACAAAAAATATTTAAAAAAATTGTAAAAAAATTTTTTTTTTATATTGAATATTTAAAAATAAATAACAAAAACTTACTAACTAATTAGAAAAAAGGTTTTATAAAACAAATAATAAATATATATATATGAAAAAACGAAAAATTTAAATAAAAAGTTAAAATAAAGGTGAATAAAAAATGGTGAATAAAAACTCAAAACGCAAAGATTAGCAAAAAAAAATAGAATTAAATTAAAAAAGAATAAAAACACAAAAATAAATACAAAAATGTTGATCCCAGATACTGGTTTAAAAAAAAATTTATTCCAAGCGCAATAGAATATTTTTTTTTTTTTGGGAATTAGCACTTTTTTGCGTTTGCGTACTTTTCAATTTTAAATTTTTAATCCCAACCGTCTTATATTAGAAACTAAAAATCTAATACCCAAAATTTAATTTTGTATCCTAATTTTTTTTATTTCAAAACTGCGCAACCCTAATGAGAGCTACATACCGAGTATTTATATGCTATATTAGTCTGATCTGAATAATTTCTTCAGAAATTGTATTGTTGCCTTAAACAATTATTCGAGACGAATTCCGTGAAGACATCATGTCAAATAAAAATGCCTTCCATACAAAGACATGATTTTGATCGTTTAGTTTGAATGGAAGCTTGTCATGGTCGTCTCCGACATTTCCTTTTGGGTGTTACAACTGCGTGGCAAACTTAATTTACCCTGTTCAGGGTATAAAAATGGAATAACAACACTATAAAACTCAAAACAAATTTTTAATTAAAAGAAGAGATTAAAAAAAATAATAAAGTCAAAACAAGTTTTAATGAAACAAAAAAAGTCAAAAATAATTTAAAAACAAACATCAAAAAAAAATTAAAAACAATAAATTTTACAGATAAAAAAAATAAAAAATAACATAAAAAAGCAAGGACAACTAAAAAATAAAAAAGGAAGGCTTAAAATATTAAAATTTTAATATAAAGTAGAAAAAATTTAAATAAGAAAAGTCACAAGTAATGTTTAAATTAAAAAAAACCCAGATTTAATAAAAAAAAATATGTAATAGAAAAATTAAGAAAATCAAAAGAAATGTTTAATGAAACCAAAAACAAATGCACAATTTAATTTAATTTAAAAAAAAAAACAAGTTCAAAAGTTAGCCAAAAAGCCAAATTTTAACATAAAAATTAAAGAAATATAAATAAAATTATATATTAAAAAAAAATTATACATTAAAAAAAAAATTAAAAATTAAAAAATTACAAAAATTAGGGAAAAAAAACAAGAAAATTAATAGAAATTAAAAAGAAATAACAAAATTAAAGTAATAAATATTTAATTGGTCTCATATATACTCAAAGAAGGCAGGATCTCGGCTAATTTTAATAAAATAAAATATAAGTTTATCAACCAAACAAAATTATGAATTGCCGTAGAAGGATTATAAACATTTAATCATACGTATATTTTGCAAATATCTTTGTAGTACATTGAAATAAAAATAGAAATACGTGTAAAACAAAACATTTTATTGGCTCATTCATATGGACATGCACTCATTCAGGTTTGCTTTTCGCATGCGTATTGTTGTAAGAAAGAATTTCACTGCCTCATACATAACAACGCATCATACATAAATGAAAACTGCAACTTATTTTTTTTATTTTGGTTGAAATTGAAAATTTGCGCAATATTTTTTAAAACAAGTTTTTATGGCATAATTTAAACCGGTTGATAATATTCATTACACTAGAAGAAAAAAGGAAATATATGTTCATGTTAAAAGTGAGTGCAAAGCAAGTGAGCAGATAAAATATATGAAAAATGTGCTATGCTTATATAGAATACAATAGCGTTAGTGGTTTGTATGTAAATATTAGTAAACTTAATATAAATGCGTTATAACTGAAATAGAGCATTTAAGCGGAGCATTAAATATTAATTAAATTAATGAACTATATGTGAATAAATAGATAAAGATAAAGAATTAAAAGTGAATAGCAATATGAAGCAAAGCAAAATGTATTAGAAATTGAGTAAGTTTCGTACTTCGCAGTCCTGATCCGGATACAACTCTTTGAACGTTCGCTCGATGACTGCATATCTGTTTCAAGGAGGAAAATACATAATTGATTATAACGGTATAAGTACAAGAGCAAAGCAATACTTACTTTGACTGTAAGCCGCCACCAGGAGGAAGATCTTCAATATCCTTATTCTGCAGTGCTTGCAATAAATCAAAGTACTGTGTGATTTCATTACATTCTATCTCTTCTGAAAACAAAATAAAGAAAAAGTGGTTAAAAAATATTGCAAAAATTTTTTCATATGTTGAGTTTTTAAAAATTGCATTTATATTAAAGCTAGGTGTTACTAGTAAATTGGATAAAAATATAAATTTACTTAAGAAAAAATTCTATTTGGTGTTAAAATGACTATTAGGTGATGTGCCAAATACTAGCTATTTCAAAAAACGTTCATAAATTGTTTTTTTTTTTTGTTTTTGTAATGCAATTGTTGGTTGTATTCCTATTCCTAGAAAATTTTTTGAATATACAGTCTGACTTCCCGACTCTGTATATTTGTTTAAAAAAACATTTATGTACATGAAAAAAACATATGAAACATAATAATTATTAATAATATCATTAGTTACTATGTAACTGATAACTTCAAATTTTTCAACAATAAATAATATAATAATTTTTGTACTCAAAAAATTCAAAAACAGCTACATGCAAACATTTTTATAAATATATGTTTTTGTAGTAAAATATTTATACTTGAACCTCTTTTCTCTCTCCCTTTTAATACAATATTTGCAAGATGCGCAATAATATTTATCAATAAATGTTCAATATGCCTATTTTCGAAAATTATAATTTTCTTTGTTTAATTTCAATTATAAAAACTAAAATTTAATTTATTTTTGTTAATATTTAATAAACAAAAAAAACTGAATAAGAAATCAATAAAAAAAAACTAAAAATAATAAATTTAAATATGTATATTAGAAATAATAACAAGTCAAAACTATTTACTACTACTATTAAATAAATTAAACAAAAAAAGGAAAGATTAAAAAAAACATTTAAAGAAATATTAAACAATAAATTTAAAAAAACTTCAACAAAAAATAAAAAAATTAAACAAAATAAAATAAAAAACTAAACAAAATAAAATAAAAAACTAAACAAAATAAAAAAAAACTAAACAAAAATTTAACAAAATAAAAAAAAACTAAACAAAAAATAGAAAATAATTAAAGAAAAAAATAAAATATTTAAAAAAAAAAATTAACAAAAAATTAAAACATAAAAATTAAACAATAAATTTGAAAAAAATTAAACAATAAATTTAAAAAAAATTAACAGAGATTAAAAAAAATTAAACAATAAATTTAAAAAATTAACAAAGATTAAAAAAAAAAATAAACAAAAAACTAAAAATATAACAAAACAACCAAACAAAATTAACAAAAATATTAAAAAGGAACAAAAAAAAAGGTTAATAAAAACGAAAAGCAAAACGAAGGATTAAGTAAAAACAGTTAATAAAACCAATATACATATATGTATATAAACAAAAAGGAAAATTTAAATTAAATAGAAATAACAGAATCAAACAAAATTATTAGATAAAAAATAAAGAATATGAAATATTTTAAGTTTTTTAAGTTGTTCTGCATTTAATTCCAATTTTAGGAAACAAAAAAATTCGAAAAATTAATTTAAGTTATATAATTGCAACTGTAAAAACTGAAATTTAATCATTTTGATTTTTGTCATTTTAATTGTTATTAACTAATTTTTTTTTCGACTAAACAAATATTTGAAGTCACTAAATACTTAGCATTCTGGCATGCATTTTACTTTAATTATGAACGTTTAGAAAAAATAACAATTATTTTAATACTTGCATTAGTTAACTATTGTTTTTTATCTAATGAATAAGGTTAATTGAGTGAGTATAACAATAATAATCTTAGTTTAGCAAACAAAATAAAAACGAATTTTGATTTAACGTACCTTATGCTCACGCTCTTTCTAAACGCGTTGTTTCTATCAAAAAACACGCAAGTCTACGATAGGTTGAAACGTTCATTAATTCTTATTTAAACAATTTGCTTTCATCATCAGAACACTTAACGAGTGTTTCGACAAATTTCTTTACGAATGATAGTATGCGAGATTTGCAAATCAAAAGCAAGCAAAAGAAATTAAACAGAAACAAAAAAGTATGTGTGAATTTGTAACATAAAACTAAATGATAGTTAAACTCGCGCAAAGCAAAAGTCATGAACTTTATAACTCGAAAGCAATGTGGGTTAAATGTTTGAGATTGTGTTGCCCTTACAAAAGGGATTACGCGTTTATATATGTATGAGTGTAAGTAGACAAAAGTACAACTCGGCTCAGTTAAATTTCTTTTGAGTTTAAAATAGGAATTTATTATCTCTCAACTTGCAAATATGAGTCTGGACACGCATCAAAATTCATTTTTACATTTTTCAAAACACCATTACTATTCGTAAGTATTTGGCATATGATATATTTACGTTTTATGTTTTATGTTTTTTGTTGTTTTTGCTATTTGGTTTATTATATAATACTAGTTTGCAATTAATACTAAATTCCGTTTATATAATCGTACATTACAATACACCTAAATAACTGCTAAGACTGTACAGATACTTAGAGGTTTCGCTCCTCCACTATTTGCTATGACTTAGAAATATATGTAATACAGAGTTGTATAAATTCCATACGAATTCACAGAACGCACCAAAATGATTTCGCTTTGATTGTTGCGTTTGCCTTATTTATGTGTACTACAATACGTAAATTAATTTTTAAAAAGTACTAAGCAAATATTGCAATGTTTACGTGAGCATAAGGACGCTAATCTTAGCTAGCGGTTGACAAAACAATGTTGTAGTTGTTAGTATAGGTAAGCGAGATTGTGTATGAATGGAAGTATGACACGCATCAAATGCTTAAAAATTAGATTAATCTCTCAAATTACTGTTATTCGCTATTTCTACAATGGTTTTTGTTTTTATTATATTTTTGTAAAGCAAAGGTATTGCAGAGGTACATATGGTATATAAAGAAATTGTACTGAATTTGAATTCACTTTTCCGTAAATTATGCATTTACAGCATTTTGTATTATTATTTACTGTAATGAGCTTTAAGTGTAATACTGTTATTTGGTAAACACAGTTAGTGCATTTAAACTCTCAAACGTATGTATATAACAAAACATAATTTCAATTCACTTCAATTCGGTGGCTTAATAATCACGTTTTTTCTCAATTTTTCCAATATTCATTAAATTTTAAAATTATTGTTGAGTTCTATACATTTTCTGCAAATTTTTATATTAGTATTTACATTAGTTTTTTTTTTTATATTATATTACATCGGCACCATCGGCCCGCCTTTGCTCTCAATTGTACTACGACAACTTGACACATTCGATTTATCTAATATTAATTATCGTTATTGTTAAATTCTTTGGCATTCTATGTTTGCTTTAAAAGCGTCATGCAAATCTCAAAATAATCTTCTTTAAACACCGTTAGTTACAACTAAATTTACATATATATATATTCTGGTTGTATGAACTCTAAGGTTGCAAATAATGCATTAATATAATAATCGAATTAACATTTGAATAAGAAAAAAATATTTTGTAATCCCGAAATAATTGATTAAAATTAAATTTGCGTACTTCGTGTTTTACCATTTTGAACTAGAGCTCGCACAGAGCCCTCATCTTCAAAACTCTAGAACAGTGGTCAGCAAACTTACACATTCAAAAATTAAAATTTAAATTTTTACAATTAAAACTAAAAACAAAATTTTAAATATTGGGGTTAAAGCATTACAAAATCAGAATTAAAATTTTAAAATTTAAATCTAAATTTTAAATTTTTAATCTAAAATATAAATTTTTAATCCAAGATGTTTTAATCCCAAAATCGGAATTAAAAAATTCGCAACCCGGATATACACCAGTTTTTTCTTAGGACAATGGACAATACACGTACATATATGTAGGTACTATGTAGAATGAATGGTAATAAAATAAACATTATAATTATAGGAGTAATCCTTGGCAGTCACTGTAGCAAACAGGGTACATTGAGTTTAGTAACCCAAATTAGAGGAAATGACTAGAATTTTTAGTATATGCATTATTTGACTAAAAAAAATTACTTTTTGCCGCAGTTGCACGGATAAGGAACAAATATTAACGAAGAAATTAAATAATTAAAGATAGTTCGTTATACAGGCTTATGACTAGTAGATCGATTTGGCTTTAATGCCACATATTAGTTACAAGGGGTGTAGTTATAAACACTTTCGGGATTTTTCATAATTTAGGTAAAACGATAATGACGTCATATGTATGTGCATTTACGCTAGCACATACCACATATCGAACTATATATATATCAATTCAGTTATTGCCTATATATGCCTTATGCGCGTCGTACGCACACGCCACATAAATTCTGTACTAAGTACATGAACTGACAATTCGACTAGTACACTTATTATTATGATTAAAAACAAAAAAGTCGACTAAGACAACCTCTTGTTAGTTTCTCGATTTGCTTCTCCAACCGTTTGTCCGCTTCTATGGCTTCTTCAGTTGGTTGTGGTGCACCCGGGAAAGCGATTATTATTATGCTCATGTTATCTCGGCTGCCCTGCAATTGAAAATGGCAAAAATGTTATTGTAAATTTAATATATGTATAAAATATGATAATTTATTAGTTTTGTAGAGATTTTGCGCACCTTGTGCAAGCAGGTATCGACGACTTGGTTTGCTATATTTACTAAATCGTTCGTTACCCTCAGCCTCGAGTGTACAAAACTGCATAGATCCTCATTGGTCATAACATCCCATATACCATCACAAGCTAAAACTAAAAATTCATCTGTATCCTGGCGACTTTGGCAAAATATCTCCGGTTCTGGCGACACTAATTGTTCGCATTGACCCTTTTCCTTAACGTTTTTGAAATCATAATCGCCCAGCGCTCGCGACACAGCCAGCGTACCGTTAACACGTTTTATCATAACACTGCCGCCCGCATTGTGTATACGCTCTTTTTCTTCAGGCAAAATCGGTTTGTGATCTTGTGTTGCAAATACCGGTACACCCTGACGGCAGAGAACGGCACGCGAATCACCGCAATTCGCAATGTAAACTTGTGTGGGCGATATAAACGCACACACCGCAGTTGTACCACCACATTTTGCTGCGTTTTGAGTTAATTCGGGCAACATTCGCATTACTTCATCGATGCGCAGGAAACCAGTACGTATGCCCTTCACGTGGTCACCATTCATAAATTCATCTGTATTAATGATATACCCAAGCAAATGTGAGGCGCAATGTTTCGATACTTTGCAACCAGCGTGTCCGTCGAAAACGGCAAAATAACTCCAATCTTCCAGTCCGCTGCCAAGACCGGCGCATGCATAGTAAGCGTCCTCCATTTCAGAACGCCACCCCTGCATGGAGCTGACGCCGAATAGAAGTTTATTTCCTTCCCCATAATCGTTATGTTTTGTAGTTTTCGGCTTATCCAGGAAACCGCCCATCGCTTTTGTGCATGCTGTGTTTAATTGTACGCGGGTAGCAAAGTTACTGAGGCGTTCGGTGGTTCGATCGCTCGGTTGATGGTGTTATAATTTTGATTACGCTTATATGTTCTCTTTTAATTTCAAATTATATTTGTTGCTGTTGAGTTAATTGTTTACAGTCGCTTTAGAGTCACTGCTTAGGAATCGTTTGTTTCGCAACTGCCTGAAATGTGTACGAAAGAAAACCATCAACACACGTTTGCAAGATATACTCAAAGCAATTGACAAAGCATGTTTTGGTAAGTGCAGAAATAAGAAAAAAATGTCAAATTCATTCACACTAAGTATTATGTACTTATATGCACACGCATGTACATACATACTTATTTTGATATCTTTTCACTAGAAATCCACTTGCTCTGAGCCATAAACACATGTATATTAACTGGTGCAGCTGAGATGAAACGTCACTTTGAAAAATCAATGATTACACAATTTGCAAAGACGAGCGCATTTTGCATAAAACTCAGGCGATATATTCCCAATAATAAAAGCCCTATTTGTACAGTAAATTGATGTGCAAACGTTCATGTAGCGTGATCATTGGAATTGCAAACAAACTGAACATACACTTGTCATCAGGGAAACTTGCAGACTTGCGCTCGCTTAGTATTTACGTTGTACTTATATATGTCTACATACATACATAAGTATAAATAATCACTGGCGCAGATGTTCTGTAAATAGTTATCTTCAGAAAAGTGCTTATTTTCTACTTTACAAATTGGTACCGCTACTCATGCAAATTATATCACTTATATAAATATATCTAATTAAGAATAGACAAAAGTAAGTAAAAAACTACACGCACATTTCAAGTTTTTTATTTCCACACTCTACCTGTTTTTTTTTGTTGTGTTTATATTGGTTTTGTAAATGTTCAAATAATTTTCTTTTACGGTTAAGCAAAATAAAAGAAAATTTTTGTGTATAAAAAAGAAAACATAGCGAGCGCGTTAGTGTTCGAATGTGAATAGAAAACCCGATTGTCGTGCTTCTCTTTGCACATTGTGATTTAGTAAGAAGCGAAGCAAAAATTTGTTTAAAGGTGCCAAAGAGGCACCTTCATTTGTTAGTAAACGTTCACAAATGACTTAGTGAGATGGGGAATAGAGAGCAAAAGAAAATGAACATGAATATATTTAAAAATTTAAAGACATTGTGCATATTTTTTCCTGATTCTTTAGCAGACTTTGCCGGTTACCAGTTACCGGCAATATTTATATTAAAGGTGTGCGTTTTTAATGATGAAAAAAAATTTTGGCAAGGAGCCTATTATAACAACGGTTTGCTTGGTAAAAAACTGAATCCACTCATCTAAATTAGTAATAATACCGTTAGAATAACGTTGTCCTGCTGCCTTAAAGAATTAACAATTTTATTTGGAAACAACACAAATAACAACCACTTGATAGAGCTTTTTTAAATTTAAACTCAACACAATCAGTTTGTTGTCAACACACTTCATATCGAAGGCAATGTTGGTTGGTTTCAGTTGATAGCTATCTTCGGGAAAAGGAGGTGGGAAATAGCCATAATGATGCACAAACGGCCCCTTCTCATTATATACACACACGCTCCCACACTTTGGGACCCAAACACTCTTTTTAGACACACGTAAAAGTTCTCTCGAATGCTCCTCTTCTAAAATTAGAAAACAATATGACAACATCACCGACCAATAGTAAACGAGTGTTACGGCGAATCAAACTGTGGCATTTTTTTTTGCGCGAATAATGTGGTTTCAACCAAAACTATTTTATTATGTACTATTTTTTTTTTCAAATTTATATTATTTACTTCTAATCTAAACACTCAATAAACACGTTATTTTCGTCTTATATTAAGTACACTTTAAAATGTTATATTTAACATGAGTGCAGAAAGCGAAAAAAATCTTTGGTTATGGCTGTCGAGTGTTCGGCCATTTCCCTTACTAATGCCATGCGCTTTTTTAGTTATATTAACATTTGTAAATTATTTACCAACACATGCTATATACAAAAGAAATTCTAATTTTTATAAGGGGAAAATGGGATTCATTCTATAACTTCTATGACGCCTCCAAAACGCTCACCTTGCCAGCAAACCGCACCAATATGAATTCGTTAACGATCAACGAGAACGTATTTCTATTGTTAAATGTTTTCAATACATAATGCACTTACAATAATTACATTTAAACACTTAAATCGTATTATTTTATTTCATTACTTATTTGCTGTTTTCAGTGACCTTTTGCCAACAATTTTTTATGAAACATAAACTGCACGCAAAAACACGACCACGGCAAAGACAGCGAAGATTTGACGAACGAGTGAATAAGAATAAATAGCGAATGCGAAAAACGGTGATGGCGGCATAGTTGCCACTGCTGAAAACAAAGTTTGGAAGTCAATAGGAAATGAGTTTACAACATTTAAATGACAATTGTTATGCATCATATAATGGATTATCACCACTATAGAACCTTAACTAAAACAACTTTTCGATAATCGGTCCTAAGGAGGTAACCTGATTTATACTTCTAAGGAATCTTGGAAATATTGAGCAATTTATTTTGCTTGTCGGTTAACCATTTCTAAGTAAAAACTTACTCAAATTTTAGCATTGATTTGACATTCTTTGTATCTCATTTCTGATAGTTTTGCCAGAGAATGTAAATAATCTACATTCTCTGGTTTTGCTATATTTTAAAAGTGTGGACCTTTCCCTTGGTCATCAGAACGTTGAAATTTTTGCTTATTATGGAGAGATATAATAGATACTGTATTTCACAATATGAATCATTTCTTTTGTAAGCATAGTGTGTAAGCACCCTTAATTTTGTTTTGTTTAAATTACGGCTAAAATATACGAGTACATATGCGTGAACTTAATAGCGGAAAGTTTTTATTTCATTGCATTGTTTTTATTATTTCCATTGGCCTTAAAACTACAAATTTATCAGGTGTTTTGTATTTAAGTGTTTTAAATGCATATGTATGTCAATTTCTACCAGCAAGGATACATTAATTACATTTGTCAGTTCAACGAATAATTTCAAAAGAATTGTTTTGAGTGGGAATAATGCCAACTATTAAAGTAACACCATTAGGTGCTGGTCAGGATGTTGGACGCAGTTGCCTACTATTATCAATGGGTGGCAAAAACATCATGCTTGACTGTGGTATGCACATGGGGTACAATGATGAACGTCGTTTCCCTGATTTTTCATATATCGTCCCAGAAGGTCCAATAACAAGTCACATTGATTGTGTGATAATTTCTCATTTTCATTTGGGTAAGTAAAAAGAAATATAAGATGAAGCAAAACCTCTGTAAACTTTACGGTTTGCAGATCACTGCGGAGCTTTGCCATATATGTCCGAGATGGTAGGCTATTCGGGTCCTATTTACATGACGCATCCAACCAAAGCTATTGCCCCCATATTATTAGAGGATATGCGAAAGGTGGCTGTAGAGCGAAAAGGCGAGTCAAATTTCTTCACTACACAAATGATAAAAGATTGTATGAAAAAGGTTACCGCTGTCACATTGCATCAAAGCGTTATGGTGGACAACGAGTTGGAGATTAAAGCATACTATGCCGGCCACGTGTTGGGCGCTGCAATGTTTTGGTTACGCGTCGGCTCGCAATCGGTTGTGTATACGGGTGATTACAATATGACACCTGATCGTCATTTAGGCGCTGCATGGATAGACAAATGCAGGCCGGACTTATTAATTTCTGAGAGCACATATGCAACAACTATACGTGATTCAAAACGTTGTCGCGAGCGTGACTTCCTTAAGAAAGTGCATGAATGTGTAGCTAAGGGAGGAAAAGTTTTAATACCTGTGTTTGCGTTGGGTCGCGCACAAGAGCTTTGTATTTTATTGGAAACATATTGGGAACGTATGAATTTGAAATTCCCCATATATTTTGCGGTGGGTTTGACAGAGAAAGCGAATACCTATTATAAAATGTTTATCACCTGGACCAACCAGAAGATACGTAAAACGTTTGTGCAACGAAATATGTTTGACTTTAAGCATATTAAACCATTTGATAAGGCTTATATTGATAATCCTGGAGCTATGGTCGTATTTGCTACGCCAGGTATGTTGCATGCTGGTTTGTCATTGCAGATTTTTAAAAAATGGGCACCAAATGAAAATAATATGGTTATCATGCCTGGATATTGTGTTCAGGGCACAGTAGGTAATAAAATTCTTGGAGGTGCAAAAAAAGTCGAATTCGAAAATAGACAGGTGGTTGAGGTGAAAATGTCTGTGGAATATTTAAGTTTCTCCGCACATGCTGACGCAAAAGGTGATGCATATTTAATATTTATTTTACGGTATAATTCTTAAAATATAATAAATAACATCATTAATTTCAGGTATTATGCAACTAATACAAAATTGTGAACCAAAAAATGTCATGTTGGTGCATGGTGAGGCTGAAAAAATGCAATTTTTACGCACCAAAATAATGGAGGAGTTTAACATTGAAACCTATATGCCTGCAAATGGCGAGACTTCAGTTATTTCAACACCTGTAAAAATTTCTGTCGATGCATCGGTATCTTTGCTCAAAGCAGAAGCCCGCGTATACAATGCTCAACCGCCTGATCCAAAACGACGACGTCTCATACACGGTGTACTTGTCATGAAGGATAATCGTATTATGTTGCAGAATCTAACTGACACACTGAAAGAATTCGGTATTAATCGCCATGTAATGCGCTTTACATCCAAGGTTAAAATGGACGATCCCGGCCCACGTTTGCGTACGGGTGAGAAACTTTTCGCGCTGCTACAAGAAAAACTGGTCGGCTGGACTGTTAGCATGCAGGAAAGTTGCACGATATGTGTCGAAACAGTTGAGATAAAGATTGAGGAAGATGAAAAGGACCCGAAACATAAAACCATACTTATAACATGGACTAATCAAGATGAAGATATCGGCGCTTATATATTGAATTTGCTACAAAATATGTGTTGATTCAAAATAAATTTGTGAATTTCTATAGCTATTAATTTGTCTTTATATACGCATCTAGGTATTTTTGAGAAAATACAAAATTTATAATAAAATATATATGTAGGTATTTTTATTGTTGTACGAAAATTGTAGAAAAAACTAGTTAATTTGTAGTAATATATTAAAGTTTGTTTAAAAAAAAGTCAAGTCGCACTGGAAAACTCATCTGTGAATTTTCTACGAAAAGTAAAACCGTTGACTAGTCAAGTAGACAATATATATTTATATTGTTGTCGGTTTAAGTGAGTTTCGATCGCCCCACTGGTGCTGCTGACGGTGAAGCAACTACGTGCGCCGTTATGCTCTTGCCATGGAAATATCGTGTGTCGTTTAGAGCGGTGTTGGCGGCGGTGGAACTAATAATTGCTGAATTTCCAGCTGTTGAAAATAGCAAAGTGTTCACGGAGGGTAATTTTTGGTTTGTTGTAGACTGCGCCAGCAACGGCATTGTGGTCATCGGATGTAAATAGAAATGGTTGATAATCGCTTGCGTAGTTGTTGGCAAGGTATTCGTATTCGCCGCCACTATTTGCGTTGTGGATTGAGGCAACATGCGTTGTAAATCGGCGGCAGTTTGGTGTGTTAATGAATTATTGAGACTAGTTACTACTTTTGGACATTGACTGTTTAGCGTAAATGTATCTAGACCAAAGCTATTTGCTCCATCCGATGTCGGTTGCATATTGTTAATATTATTTATGTGCACTGACTGCATCATAGGCAAGACAGACGGCGTTGTGGACAGTTCAATCGATGCTGGTGAAGAATATGGCGAAGATTCTAAAGATGAACATAATAGCCGCTGATTCATGTCTTTCAATGTACCTGTAAGAAAAATGCAAATTGAAGTAAAACTTGCAAAAATAGAAATCGCAAAAAAAAATCCTACCATGATCCTCTTCTTTAATGCGTGTCGACGACAAATCCACGGGATCGAATTCACTTTTTATTTTAAAATGTAGCGCCGCTGTAGCCTCCGATGAGGAAATCGCATTATCGGTATCTATTGTAACGGACGGCTGCCCCACATACAAGCCACATTCTTCCATTTCAAGCGCTTGCTCCATAATGAGCTCTTCGGCCGAAGTGATACTCAGGTCGGGGAAACCGCTGATTGCACATCGGGTATCTGTTAGTAACGAGATGCTCGCTTGTGAATTGAAGATCGCATCAGCTTCGGTCTTTTCACGTTTTATTGAAGACAACAAAGCCGGTGTTGTAGGAATAGCTTTTTGCACTTGTTTAGGTGAAAGTTGCTTTCGCTCACGCTTTGGTTTAGCCGTTTTGCTTGTGCCAATTTTACTTAATGTGTTGTTTAATGCGCCAACTGCTGTTGTTGGTTTTAGGTGTTGTGACATTGACATCGGTATCGAAGTCATGATATTACTCGCGCGCGTCACTTCGGTTTTGATGTTCGCCGTTAATGTAGATACCGCAATTGTTGGCAAAGGATGATCATCTCTAATCGCTACTAGTGGCGGCGGTTGCGGCGCGGGTGCAGCCTGCGCTGTTGTTGTTTGCTCTGATTTTTTCTTGCGTTTAGATGCTTGAGATTTTGGCGTTGCCGCGTTGGAATCACTTGGCTTTAGATTTTGCGCGGATGATACTTTGTTGGTATCGTTTGTAATAGGTTTCGTTGTCTGCGTAGCTGACCCTGGTTCTGTGTTAGCCTCGGCGGCCTTTGCTTTAGTCGCTTTGGTGGACTTTTTGGAACAATAGGAGGGAATGTTTTCCAAATGCTCACCGGTTTTATGGTCCACTTTGTGACGGCGACGTGTGTGTTTCAACCAGTTCGGAAAGTTGGTGAAGTCTCTTGGGCAATAGTTGCATTTGAATGGTCTTTCGCCAGTATGTATATTTGAGTGTTGTTTCAGCTTCGAATTACTTATAAAGGACTTATCGCAGACGTTGCAAGCGAAAGGTCTTTGCTCAAGATGAACCAGGTTATGCACCTTAAGACAACGTTCTGTTTTGTACATTTTGCCACATTTCTCACAACGGTACGAGCGTGTTTGTGCATGATATTTTTGGTGTCTTTGTAGATGTGAACGTTCTTGGAACCTTAAAAGGAAATTGTATCGTAATTTGAAGGTGTTTTCTTCAAATAAATTTTAAATTGATATTTACCTCTTTTGACATTCCGGACATTCGTAAGGCTTTTCAGCAGTATGGATACGAGAGTGATGAGTCAAATTGATCTTTTGTACAAATTTTTGGCCACATATATCACAGCCGTACTTCTTGTTATCACTATGGATTTTTCGATGCATCCACATGCTGCCCAATTTAAGGCTAAGATGAAGACGAAGGAAGATATTTGTAAATTACTAGCAGCATATTAAGCGTGTATAGAGATACTTACCATTTTCCACATTCGGGGCATTTTTTCCAAGCATCTTTTCGTGGATCTGTTGAGCGATGCGTTTTAACATGTTTCTTTAAAGCCGCTTCCTGTTCGAAATCGCTATCACACACCGAACATCGGTAGTGCACGCGATGTCCAACAGCCTCGTGCGTGGCAAATTCGCCTCGCCCCTGAAGTATGAGACCATCGCAGTCCAGGCACTTAAATACCGGTTCGGCAGCATTTGTACCAGTTTCCTGGGTACCAGGCTCTTTTTTACCTATACCAACAGTTTCAACCTTTGATGTTGGTGCTAAATTATTACTATTACTACTACCACTTGGTGTATTGTCTTCTGAGATTGTAAAAATATTGAAACTAGATGATGAGATCGATTGGTTGCTACTGACTACAACATGATTGGTGGGTGCATTTTTGATGTCGTTTGTTTTATTTTCAATAGTTTGGATATTATCCACGGCCGCGTCATCTATATGTGTTGCATTCAATTGGTATGCTTGATCAATTGTGAGCATTTGATTTTTTAAATCGCGTTTAATTTTTCCTTTTGACGAGCACCTTTCAGCTTGTCGTTGGGAATCCGCCTGATGTGGCTTTATCAATAATCGTTTTAATGGTGAGGGTGTCGGTGGCGGTGCTTCTGGTCGTAAAAATGTGCCGCTGAAACTATGCTGCGGTCGCTCCTCTTTTATTATTACACCGCCCACAATTTTGGCATCTACACCACCGCTATACATATAATTTTTTTCCAAATTTTTTGTTTTGCACTCGTAACTAGCATTTGGCAAATCTTCAGCAATGGAACTGTCATCGAGCCCATCATCACTTAAACTGGCACATACCAATTGGTGTTGAACATCATCACTAGTATTTGTCAATTCAAGGTGTGCATTTTGCGCGCTTTCATCTAATACTCGCCAAAAATCCGTACTTGATAGACTATTAGTGGTAGCTAGCATAGCGGCCGAGTCGCCGCTAATGGTGACGCAGGCGGATAAATCGATGTCCAACGATTCATCCTTAATATTTGAATCGAAATTATTTAGACGTAAAAGTGAACTAAATATTTCATCGTTAGCTCCCAATTTGGTAGGTGTGTTTGGTGCTAGATTTGTTGGCACTGATCGTGGTTTTCGCGGCATTTTTTTGCTGCTTGGCGCTTCTTCTGTCATTCTCGTTTAGACGGTGCGCTCCTCTGTTGTTGTTGGTCAAGAGGTTATGCGGTTTTTTACACCTCGCCGTGTACTAATTAGTTAACAAACATAAAACACACACAATTCACTTAAGCAGTACGTTCATAGCACAAGGCGTTGCCTATATAATCACAACAATTAAGCGTCGTTTATAAAAGAATTTCACAAAAATTAAGATTAATTACAGAATGACGCCTTGTTTATTTTGCACACATATGGAAATGTTTGGAAAGTGTTTGCATGCAAACGCCATTTTGACGAGTGCTGCCAAGTTATGTTGGTTGTGGCACAGCAATGCGTTCGGCAATTGGACGTAATAGTATAGCGTGATTAGAAATAAAAGTGCCTAATAAAACTATTCATTTGATGTAATTAACAATAAAAATCATGGCTTTAATAAAGCAAATCATATTATATATTAATTAATCATGTTCATTATTATTATTAAATTTTATAACCGCAGTTAAATTAATGGATTAGGAAATTAAGACTACTTATGCCTGAAAGTATGTTGTGCTGAGCTATATGGTTACTTCATATGCTGCATTCGTGCACATACATTGCAATATTTTAAGTATTTATTGAAAAAGAAATTAAATTTTTTGCATTAGCCATTGTCACACTTGTTGTTATTATTGTTGTAGCAGCAGAAAATATCCTTCAAATATAATATTCCTGTATATCACCAATTTCTATAAATTAATTGTTTTTTTGTTTAAATGTATATTTTACTCATATTATCTTTAATACATATCTACTTTAAGGTATAATTGCCTAAATCGCATATTTGTACTTCTACAAATACTACATACAAATGTACATAAATATATATAAAATATAATAAATATTGTATGTGTATAATAATATCTGTTTGTATGTATGTATGTATGTACGTGATTTTTGCGCACACTATTTAGCCAGCGATATTAATGAAGTTGTTCAAATTGCAAATAAAATTTACAAGCCTTACATACGAGTACAATGTGAATGGCACAATAACAGCATAATACGTCAACAACAATAATGTAAAATCAGATTAAACAACAAACAACTTGTTTGGCTACAAACACAGTTCAATGCAATGCACCTTAACAACAATTGACCCATTGGAAATGCATATGAGCAAGCATGCAGTCATTATGTGCCCATACATTATACTTGCATGCCCTGTAGGAAATGCTGTAAGAAGTTAAGTCAATAGTGCAGTGTACAACCAATTATGATGTGTGTGTAGCCAAAAGCCGAAATTAGTATTAAGATGATCGAACACGATCTCAACATGTGAAAATTCTCAAGTTTATCTTATAGCAAATGATCGGGTTTTATTGCTTGTAAATATTACTTTTCCTACTGGGTATTTGAAAATTAAGAACTCAGTTCGCCTATATATATACATATGTAGTCGTATGCGCGCAAGTGCTTGCATTTGTATAAATGCATATGTGTGCGTGTTTATTGTTGTTGCCGCTTATGCGTGGGTTGCTTCGGCCTTGTTTGTT